GGGGAGCGGGGAGGGAGGGGAAAAATGAGGACCTAATGTCGGGGGTTTAAATGGAGAGAAAATGTTTTGAGAAACGATGTACAAATGCGCTTTACATAATTGATGTGTGTATGGATTGGGATAACAGTTGTATGAGCCCCTAATAAAATGTTAAAAAAAAGAAAAAAAAACAAAAAACAAAAACAAACAAACAAACAAACAAACCCCAGACTCTCAGGGCTGAAGCTCCAGAGAGCACAGTCAAGTAAGGCTCGGTGACAAGTCCAGGTGTGTATCACCTGTCTGTCCCAAACCTCAGGGCTGCCCTTTGCTCTATTTTTCCCAACATGGACTCAAACATTGTGTACACATAAGTATATGCATTATATATCTATACCAACGTGGATGGTAAGATTTGAAATTTTATTTTGCATATCAGGTTTTTATAAAGCTATGGTAGTATAGCTGAAAGAAGATGTTAAATTAGCTTCAACAAATCAAACCCCATCTTTATTTTCTCCACAATTATGTCAGTAAATATGTGATTATTTATAGGTAAGCTTATAGTATAGTTGAAGGCCTTATCACAGGGTCACTTAAATAGCTGAAGGATTATTTGAGAATTTTCTTTATACTTTTTCATAAATACATTATCCAAAATATTTCAGATGCAGTTGACTGCTGTCTCTCAGCATCTGCTCCCCCTGTTTGTAGTTTGAGAGTGTGCTTGGCCATAAGGCACTAAATTCTCTCCTGGGAGTTGTGGGGGCAGAAGGGACTCTGATTTGAGGTAACGTGTCTTTGAAACTTTGTCCTTACAAGAACTGGCAATAAGTTCTCCTAGCCCAGTGGTTCTCCACCTTCCTCATGCTGCGACCCTTTAATACAGTTCCTCATGTTGTGGTAACCCCTAACCATACAATTATTTTCGTTGCTACTTCATCACTGTCATTTTGCTACTGCTGTGAATCGGGCGACCCCTGTGAAATTGCCATTTGACCCCCAAAGGGGTCGTGACCAACAAGTTGAGCACTGCTGTGGCCTTTCTTGTCTTTTCTTCTGATTGGAGATGATGAGCCCTGGAGCAGCCATCTCTGGTCCAAAGATCGGGCCCTGTGCTGAGAATGTTAGGGCCACCCTGCTGTGGGGTGCTGATGAGGCAATTCAGGTATGTCGTAAACCTGTCAGACAGACTGAAGCTGTTCCCAGGCTCTATAGGGAAACACATCAATAGGCCTCTTCTCCCAGGGAGTAGCTGGTGGGTATGAAACACAGCCTTTTGGTTAGCAGCTGAGAACTTAACCACTGTCCTGCTAGGACCACTTAGGCCTGCCCTAACTCTTAAACTCGTGTGTTACACACTTCTAGATGGTTAACATGCACAGAAATAAAACTCCATCTTCTTAGATTCACCCTTAGAAACACTTCGGTGTGTTTTTTGTTATTGTGGGTTAGCCTACTCATTATGCTTCCAATACAGTTGTCCTTACATATTTGATTTTCTTCACCAATAGGCCTGAGGGTGGGGGTGGGGACTACCACAGTGCTCTTAAGTCCACTGCTACTAAAGATGTGAATAGTGGACGTAAATATATGTCAGGATTGTATTAGATTCTATTTTATAGAGAATTCCTTTTATATCAGAAAGATAGATATTATTCACAGCCACTAAAATGAAATTTAATTCTATAAATGAGTACTTATGTATTGTTATAATGTCATATAATTCACATGTCATTTAATTCAATAGTTCAGTCATATTAAAAAGAGTTGTAGAATCATAGCCAAAATCAATTTTAGAACATTTACTTCCTTCTTGTACCCATTGTGACAAGCCTCTATTTCCCTCCAAGAACTCATCAATGCAGTCACTATCTCTTTAGTTTCATCCATCCTGGATTTCATATGCAGAAAACAGAGAAAAGAAAATACATAAAAACGAAGCAAACCCCCCACTGTACTCTGCAGGGGAGCAAGGCTCTTCACATCCCTGGTCTATGGTCAGCCGGGATTCACCAGGGACTTGGACCCTGGGGATGGATGTTGGGCTCCTACTTTATCCACAGCCTTCTGAAAAGGTGTGTTCACAATTTACGCTCTGGACCATTCCCTCCTACCGATTGGGATTCTATTATTTATAATCGTTGGATCTCACTTGCTATAAATGAGCATTTAGTAGGTAAGCCAATTCATGGTGACAGAAATGAATGTCTTCTGCCTCCTCCCCCCAATATTTTACTTATAAGTTGCTAAATACTTCAAAGGCACTGCTGGCTTGGGTGCTGGTGAGCAATGTCTTTTTTTGAGCAGTACAGCTGACACTTCCATTGATGATATGAAACAGCCGGTCACAACAATAGTGACAATGATGAGGAATGTGATGGGTCCACTCCATTGAGCACCTAATATTACCTCAAATGATGGCTGTTCAGCTCACAAAACATTTACCGCAATGATTTGGGTAGATTTGCAATAATACTTTCTGACCTGTTTAAGGAGTGCTTTTGTAAGTTATATAAATATTTTTAAGTGGGGAAATAAAATTTTAAATCTTACAGTAACAGATGTCTCCAGACTAAACTAAAGTTTTCTTTCATAGGAGAATCTGATGATAGATCCACATAATGTTTCTATCAAATTCCCAGTGGAATCCAGGTTTTCTGGAGCCATTGAGGCTGAATATATCTTAGACATGAAAACCTTGAAATAATCTTAAACCCCAGACTAAAACTAGTTCCTGAAATATTATTTGAAGGAAAGAACAGTAATCTAGCCTAATTGGTAGAACATGTCTGCCAGGCACACCGTGCTCTTTGAGAAGCGTTATCTATGTGGGGCCATGCTGACAACAGTAGCGTGAAAGACTAGATGGGAGTTTAGAGGAACGTGATTCTGCTAACCACAGTGGAACAATCTGAAGATGAACAGGTGGAAGGGTGGCACAACTTGAACAATGTAGTACATGTTATTGAAATGTGCCTGTAGAAATTATTGAAAGGTGTGTATGATTGGCTAGATTTTGTGTAGATTTTCATAAAAAAATTAAAATACTATATCTCAAGACATTTAATTTTACTTTAAATAAGTTCTAGTTCATTGAAGGGAAGGAAGATCTACAAATGTATATAGAGTCTCTTTTACCTTCTGTCTTCTGCTCATCAAAGGCTGATTCTAATGGAGGGCCAAAGAGGGGAGCAAGGGCCACAGTGTCGTCTGGAGGCTTTTTGCTAAATCATATACATCAAAGCAAACAAAGAGAAATATAGGGATTATTAATGCAAGTTTTCAAGCTTTCATCTATTTCTCTAGGTGATACAGAGATACTGTGTGTATATATGTGTGTGTACAGTTGTATAGCATGCCTACCAGCATGTGTATACAAAGACCCCACGGGACTAGAAAGTGGTATAAAGGATGTCAGATATGCAAACATGCTCTGGGACAAGAGAGCTGGTAGAAGATCTCTGATACCCAGACTGTGGCCTAACAGAAATACGTTAGAGGAAATAAACTCTAGTCTGAGCATGATGATTATTATATCGACACGAGGAAATATTAGAGATTTACTGAAATGTGCTTCCCCCCCACTCAGACCTCAAAACAAACAAACATTCCACTACCAACAACAACAAAAAAGCTCCCCCCAATTTTTATTGGTCTTCATTAATCTGGCTGTAATTAATAGAGCTGATGATTAGCAACTCATAGTGACCTTATAGGACAGGGTGGAACTGCCCCTGTAGGTTTCCATGAGTGTAATAACTATATGGGAATAGGAAGCTTTGTCTTTCTCCTGTGGTGGAGCAGCTGGTGATTTTGAACCGCTGACCAACACATAATCATTCAGTGAGTGACTGAGTTAAGATTAGTAAAAAATTATGTGTTGGGAGGTTGGGTGACCAGACACCCAGGATATCAGTGTTTGTGTTTGAATAAGAAAAGTGCCCTTCCAGATTATAATTCCATTTCTACCCACCCAAAAGACTAGCCATATTTCCTAATGCCATAAAATAGCACATTTCAGAAACAAAGCAGAATATAAAAAAATCAAGGTGGATATGGGGGGTGGCAGGACAACAATAAGGTCACTTCTCATTGTTTCTTCTATCTTTTACTCTAGGGAGATTATTACCAAATGGCTGCACAATGTTTTCGTTTCTTTGCTAGACCTGATTCTCTTGACTGATCCTAATAAATGCTCTCTCTCTTTCTGTGTGATATGTGAAAAGATGGAGAGGAGAGGAGAGGGACTGGAGAAATGGGGGGCAGGGGAATGTAAAAGAAGTCAGCTTTTAAGTAGTATTCATAGCTGTTTTTTGTTTTTAAGCCTATTTGTACAATACTTACCTAACTGAAGAATATACAGTAAACCCTAGGTTCCCAAACTTATTTGGCGTACCACCTCCTTTTGAGGGGGCAAAAAAATCCCCTGAATGACTTAGCACACCCTTGGCAATGAAACACCTTTGTACTATAGCCCACAGTCCAGAATAAAGTGCAGGTATCTGCTTTGGCAGCCCCGCTAGATTATTCAAGCACCTCAGGGGGCAGAACTGCCCACTTTGGGAAATATTGGTGTAAATACTCCGTGTTGCCAAAATCCAAGACAGCATTGAAGAAGACTCCTGTGGTGTGAAGGGTGGGATGACCCTATGCTGGAACTGTAATCCTCTCCACGGGGGAATGAGACCATAGTGCAGGTCAGCATTCCAGAAAGCAAAAGACCCTTTCTAGTGGACTAACCCTTCTGACGGATGGTTACTTCATATGATCATAGATTACTTCATTTGTAGGCCAGTCCTTATGAGACATGATACACATTTGGACTGTGCTATGAAAAAGAGAAAGACCCTCAATGAGATGGATTGACACAGTGGCTTCAACAATGGACTCAAAGATAGCACAAAGAGGCAATGTTTTGTTGTGTTGTACACGGCTTTGTTATGCCTCAGCACGGACTCAACAATCTATGGGGAGGTCTTTAACTAAGAGGCAGCCAGGAGATTAGCCCGGAGGAGATTTGCTTCAGTGTTAACAGGGCATGATGTCTTACATGAAATATAACTAATATCTTCCATGCTTACCTTACAAGTTCTGGAGTTGGTGTGGAACGCCTGGGTCTTGCCACTTCTTCACCTGATACACAGGATAGAGGGAATTTTTAGTCCTATTTTTTTTATTTTACCATTTCTCTCTGACATCTTTTAGGAGCTATGCTTGGAAACTCTGAGATTTAAACTCTCCTCGATAACCAGTTCAATATTAAATCTTTCCAAAATAAACCCAGAAAACATGCTCTTGCCTGGCAAGGCAACAGTCATGAATTAGGCATTTTCTCAGGTGTTTGTGAAACTTCATTCAGAAAGGAAATTCCACAATAAGCCATTAAATTTATTTGTATATTGTAAGGCCTTGTGGAAGAGCACACCATTCCTCGAATATCTGTTGTGGTGATCAGTTCTTTTACTCAATTAGCATGACCATACTAAGCCAGTCCATATGTACACAGACATGCATCCAGCATTCTAAGCCTGCTCTTTCCTTGAAATGCCAAGAAAACATCATACCTCCAATTCTATGCCATGAATTTAGGATTTCCTGGAGCGTGTTGTATGCAGCAGAGGAAAATTGTAATCTGTGCCTATGCGAACTTATGTATCACTTTGGTTGATTATATTTTCATATCAAATAAGACAAATAGGACCATTGATCTTTCTAGCCTCCTCCTTCCTCCAACCCCACCAACAAACACATCGTTAAATTCATTTCTAAATTTAAATGACATGTCAAGACTTAACAAATATAGAAAGACTGCATTTTTTCCCCAAAGGAACATTCAATTTAAGAATTCAATATTCACCATTCTGAACCTATAGAATTCCTCTATGATTACAAAATTCAATATTCACCATTCTGAACCTATAGAGTTCCTCTATCATTACAAGATGTCTTTAGTGTAAAAAAGAAAGAAAAGAAGAAGAAAGGTAAGCTTGAAACGTTAAGCCTAAGAGCACATAATTCAAATGTATACATCCTCTAAGACCCAAGGAACTAGTCCTTCTTTCAAATAATGCTCTATTTCTTGTAGCTAAAACATACTTACTGGATAAGTTCCTTTTAATTGCACCCTAGAATTAGAAATAGACACTATAAGGTTTAAGACCACATAGATGTTATATACAATATGTATACTTGTTATTGCGTTACACTGAACTAAGAAATGCGCAGGTGGGGAAAATTTTTTTAATCACATTCAAGTTGGAAATTGTAGACATACTCTCATAAATCAATTTTTCATTGGACTTAAGGCTTTTGAGAGGAAGGGAGGATAAAAAGATTTCTTGTGAATGAGAAAAAACCCTTACCTGGGTAGATTTGACAAATTAACGACAAACAACGAAAAGTTTGTTAAAAAGAAAAAAATCGAAACTTTGAACTCTAGCAGCCAAGAAGTACAGTATATCCAAGACTATTATAATCCATAACACAGTTTGATACCTTCTGATACTTTTAGAAAGGCTACTATCTGCTTTTGGTCAAGTAGGATTCATAAGTTGATGGTCTGAACAGCCATCAGTTTACTAAGGCGATCTTCAAAGATTTAAATGGCAAGTATTAAGGAAAAGGGAATATTGTGTAGGCATTGTCACTGGGTGATGTTTTATCCAGCAAATTTGAGAATTCCATTCAACCTCCCTAGGTTATTTCCACCAGCCTGTCAATCCATCTATCAGGCACCATTTATTTATCTCAAGGGTTTGCAATGCAAATAACTCTATTAGGAATAACCTCCTAACTCCATCTCTAATTTTCTTAACTCCAAACTTACTGCTATGAAGTCAATTCAGACTCATAGTAACCCTCTAATAAGAATAGAACTGCTCTCTGTGGGATTCCAGAACAGTACATCTTTAGAGGAACCGAAAATTTTTCTTCTATGAAGTGGGTTTGAACTACTGACCTTGTGGTTAGCAAACCAACACATAACTCACTAGGCCACCAGGGCTCCTTTATGGCACCATAACACCTTAAAATAAGAAGCACGGACTAGAACCAACATTTTAATGTGAAATCAGAAACAATGAAAAGTGCACGGGGCACTAGCAGAATGGTAGGTTGCCAGGAGCTTAGCATCCTGGAGTAGGGCATGGATTGGCATGGTAAGTCTTAGGAGAAAGACAGGGGCAGGGATGGGGATGTGTGTGCGTGTGTGAATGGTTGTAAGTATAAGAAGATATGACCATGAATGACTTGTGTTTGACCATCAAAGACATATTTTCCCTATTTTACACCTTTGATGAAGGCACAACTCATTGACCACAAATATTATGAGGGGGCTTTAAAAACAATACCATTATCTTAAAAACAACAACAGGTGCCTAACATGTAAATTTTATTTTGCAAATTCAAAAAGCTTACCTGTAAAAATTATATTAATACGATTTGTCAAATGACATTTGGGGACATTTGTCTGAATGAGAATGTATAGAATATTCATCATGGCATTAATTGTATTAAGTTACTACAAATTGAAGAAGAATCTCCTAAATGTCTATTATGGAGGGACTGGCTATGTAAATAGTCTTATGCTACAAAGGAAAACCACGTAGTCATTAAAAAAGGATAAAGTATATTCAAGTCTATATACCTTATAGACTTAACAAGAAAAGAACCATTATCTTTAATTTGATTTTTCCATGAGATTTTTGAAGTCCACTCTTATGCTTAATTTTCTCAAGTTATAAATTACAACTCAGGACCAGACATCAACAACAGACCCGTAAATAGCTTCTTTCCTTATTTCCTAAAGACTTACTAGAATTTTCTATCCGATTTTGAAAGTTTTAATCAGAACAAGGATCCATTAGATGCTTTCTTTAAGTGAGCAATGATTTATCATCATAAAGTGGATGGATTCATCTTTAAAGCTATATTTCATAGTGCAATATGATAATTTTCCTAATATGTATATCATATAAAGAATTACTATAGTATTAGTAAAAAGAAACCTTTTACAGCAGTATGTTCATTTATATCTGTTATGGTTGTAAGGGAGTTTGGATACAAGTTTTCTTTGGGAAAGTAAGGCTATGGACAGAAATAACTATATACATAAACTGTTCTAGGGACCTAAAATGTTATTTGCAGTTACAGAATTTCGGATAATGAGTTGTCTATTTAATAAGGCTTGAAGGAAAGAGACAGGGTGCCCAGTCCCCAGTAGTCACTCACAAGGTTAATAAGTTGGCATTGAGGAAACAGGGCCCCCGCAGTACTGAGTTCTGCGATCCAGGAGTGCAAGAACTCCAGGGGCGTAATGCAGACTACTTGGCTCTCTGTCCAACTCCTTTTATGAAAAGTGTAAAATACCCACGAAGCTAAGAAAGGCACAAAGCAGCTTTGTCTTCACCTGTTCCCAGGTGGACCAAATTCATTCAACAGGTATTTACTGTGGAGGCTGTAAAGCCGCAGCCCTTGTAACATTTTTATGGAATACCTCCAGGAAGGGACAGTCCCCAGGTAAGCGTGGGCTGCCAAGGCAGAAAGGTGCAAGGAAACACTCTTGTTTAAAAATTAGAAGGAACAAAAATATTATTGATTTATAAGGAGCAGCTATTCCAAGGAGCAGCCACAGCAAGTCAGCAGCAACAGGAAAGGACACCCCGCTGCCAGCTGGAGTGGATGACCCCAGCCTGTCACAGCTGGGACAAGGTTCAGGCGATGGCCAGCAAGCAAGTCACGTTCAGGCACAACAGCACTCAATGAAAACAACAAGGACCCTTCTCCTCCTCCCTGTGCGGCATTTTCCTCTTTTCAATATTGTTGATGTAGGTACATTCGGAATCAATTCCTTTCATTTTCAATAAGCGAATTCACTAAGAATAAGTGACCACCTAATCACAGGGGTCGCATCACCCACAGCTGAAAGCCATCCCTGAAAAGGGCGAAACGCTCTAGTAGAAACGGTCCATCTTAAACATTGTAAGGCAGCATCACCAATGTACCAGCTAGGACAGGATAGGGACTCAAACAGAAACCCATTCATTGACTTGGCACAGGCCGGAGGGCATTTCAGAGAGTGCTGCTTTAGTCCTGTTCCCTCTCCAAGGGCCGACCAGACAGAGAAGCCCATTTCCAACATGGCCAAGACAGTCCTCTTTGTTTCTTTAAATTTCCAATATTCATCAGCCGGAGGGAAATGACTGCGATTTGACCTTGAGCAGTCCGAAGGGACACTTCCTCAGTCTTTCTAAGTTGGTTGTCTATGACACACTTAGGACTGGGTCACAGCCTGCAGGGTTCCCTCAAAGCATGCCTCTTTCTACCTAATGGAAATTGGGATTACATAACAGCACGTCCTGATCAGCATAAATTATAGCCCAGAGGGACGTTTTCAACTGAGGTTTCAATGCAATCTGGTTGAAACCTTGTCTCCCTACTTTCTTCTTTGTCCTTCTCATAGTTTCTCTTTGCTATGAACAGCTATAGTGCTTTCTAGTCAGCTTCAAACCTTGCATGTAGACACGCACATTTACACACACACATGCGTGTCCTTTTATTGTTTTCAATTACAATTTCTTTTTAAATTGGAAATTCCAATGGAGGATTCATTTTGCTATGGAAAGTGCTAGGTTAACCCCACACAATTCCCTGCGCACTTTGAGGACCAGTTTCTAACCAGAAATCCTAATTCACTGGCCTCATTCAACCTTGAGCTACTATAAATTCAACGGGAAATCCACCTGGCCGCATTTCTCTATAGACTGTTAGGGTAAAGATGTAGCGAGTTCTTACCGGACTGCGCCTCTGTGATCAGCACAAAGGAAGAGAGAAGAGACACCTGGTCAGAGAACGGAGGGCCAGGCGACAGGCTGGGCAGCAGGAGCGTCACAAACAGCAACCACACACACGCACCAAACAGGCCAAAGGAACGTAAGTAGCTTGTGTGTTTGGAGCTTATTGAAACCAGAGGTACTTTGGAGAACTTAAAAGAAATAATATTTATGAAATAATAGAACTTTGTTAATGGGGAGGCAACTATTTTTAGCCATGCATATACATGAACAAAGCAGAAATGTGCAAGAAACGTTTACCTATGTCTTGTAAGGAGTTTTTCTCCAGATTGTTTGGTGTGAGAGGACAATGACCGAGAACAGGAAGGACAGGCACACCATTGCCTCGAGCAATGTGTGAGCGACCCCAAACATAGCGCATTTCCTACACAATTAGGGCTTAAAGGAAGCCTCAAGAGAATCAGACAGCAGGCCGAAGGAAACCCTTTCGTTGCTTCCTGTCAGTTTGTTGCACTGTGATGGCTTGAGTGTTGCTAAGATGCCAAGGGGATTCCAAACACCAGCAGGCCACCCGTGGTAGGCACGTTTCAGCAGAGCGCCCAGAGCAAGACAGGCTAGTTAGCCAAACTTTAGTCAAAGAGAATCTGATGATCGCAATAGAATACTTGCCAACATAGTGCTGGAAGTGAGCTCTGAGCTGGAAAGCACCACATCACAGCCACAGTCGGCTCCCACCTACCAGTGAGCGTGAAGATGGTGCGGAACTCGGACAACATTTCATTCTGTTATATATAACAGAAAGTTATATATATATCTAGTTGCCATGGACTCACTGCCACCCACTATTCTGACTCACAACAACCTTATAGGACAGGGTAGAACTGCTCCCGTGGGTTTCTGAGACTAACTCTTTATGGGAGTAGAAAGCCTCATCTTTCTCCCACAGAGAAGCAGGCGGTTTCAAACTGCTGACATTGTGGTTAGCAGCCCAGCACATAGCCCACGAATGCGGCCTAAGGTTGTCATGAGTTGTAGCTAACTCCCTGACAGCAAACGACTTTGTTAACTGGGGTTTCTCTTTAAGGTGCCATGGAATGTGTGGTATGAAAACACTTTCTGACGGTACTCGTGCTAGTGATTTGGGTGGTGATACTGTAGCGAGCAAGATGCGATGCCGCTAACAAACACAGATGAAAATAATGAAAGCTGTCTAGCGCCAGTAGGACGTTGGTGGACCAGATGATGTCCGGCAAAACAAAATCAGCAGTCGTACTTCTTTTTTCTTTCACCCGTCAAACCTTCTCTATCGCTGGATTATGAATTTACTGTAACAATCTCCCTGTTTTCTCCTTTAGGGTCCTTCTGCAGCAACAGGCGTGAGTAGGATGTGAGTGGGGAAAGAACTGCTGACCAAGAGTCTCGCTTTCAGGTGTGGGCTAGTCCATGGACTCCTCAGAGGTGACTTGGGATCTAGTACTGACCACATCCGGAAGCATCAAACAGAAGCATAGCCAGGAGGCTGATGGAGTGACGGAGCTGGTCCCACTCTCCAAAATATAGACAGCAAATGAGTCTTTTTATGATAGAAAAAAAAGTGAGACTCTAAGACACACAGGGAGTTAAATGGGCTGAGCCCGCACTGAGATCTCTGCTCTCCCATTCTTAGATTCCAGCTGGGAGTCAAGCATGGCGCTGTCAGAGGGATCCTAAGGCAGAGAGCGATGGTAGCTGTTGGCCAGAAGCCATTACTTGTCCAACTAGTTTTGTAAGTATTTGGGACTCTAGACATACGTATTCTAGTCCACTTTACTTCTAATGTTTGCCTTATTTGTCTCGTATTCCACATCCATATCAACCTCAGTGTTCTTAAAAAATGAGTATGCATTCATGAAATTTACATTAAAAATTGTGAATATGTATTTCTGGGTTCAAAATATTTTACTGACTAATCAATATTATGTTTTGAAAGAAAAAGGGATGCTTTTACATGAAATATAGGAGTTTATAATTTTAGATTCAATTATATGGCAAATGACTTCCATATAAAATACAGAGTTTAAAAATGACACCCCAAGATAAAATTATGAGAAGTAATGAAAAAACAGAATGCAGGATACAATCAATCATAGAAGGGCAGAACCTTAAATTCAAGAGCATTTATTAATTTAAGTTGATAGAGAAAAACGCAACTTTAATTCTATTAAACCACCAGATCAAGGTATATCTTGATTTTCAACAGTTTTGAAACTTGGATTAGTTTAGTCACTAGTTGATATTTATACTTTTCCAGTAAAAAACCATCCAGGAGCTCCTGTGGTGTAGTGCGATATGTGTTGGGCTGCTAACTGCAAGGTCAGCACTTTGAAACCACCAGCTGCTCCCAGGCAGAAAGTTGAGGATTGAGAGTTAGTCTCAGAAACCCACGGGGGAAATTCTACCCTGTCCGATAAGGTTGCTATGTGTCAGAATCAACTTGAAATCAGTGAGTTTGGTTCGAATAAAAAACATCCTTGTACAATTTTGGCAAGTTTATTTGCAAATGCCATCCTCCTTACAGTGTTTTAGGGGAACAGCTGCTCAAATTCATGCAGTCACAGCTGAATTAATCAGAATCCAGAAATCTACTGAAATTATAAGCTGTGGAAAGTACAGATCTATCTACCTCAAGACCTCTAATTAAACGCTATTGTAAATCCTTCAAATCAAAGGAACCCCAATCTTTTGAATTGATTTAATTGCAGGTATTTTATCTATATATCTATCTACCTATCTATATTTATCCATTGATCATTAATTGGAGTCTATGGGTAGGGCAAATTGTTTAGGATCTTGGTGAATAAACAAAATGTTAAGAGGTCTGAATCCACTCCAAAGCACCCTGGAATAAAGTCCTGGAAAAGCACCCCTGCACAATTAGGCACAGACAGAGCCAGGCCTCTGTGGAGCGCAGCTCTACTCGGACGCACATCAGGTAAACTCCGTGGCAACTGGCCACGGTGCGCTGTGGAATCAACTCGAAGGAGAGAGTAGAACATCCAACCTGGGTTGTAATCTTCAGGGAGGAGCCCGGAGAGAAGCGCAGTGAAGCGCTTCTCTGTGAAAGGAAAGGGCAACAGTCCAAACCCACAAGCCACTTCTCTGCAGAAAGATGTGACCATGTGCTTCGCCAGACTCATGGCCTTAGAAAACCTATGGGGCTGCTAGGAGTTAGAATTGACGTGGTGACAATGGTTTGTTGTTGTTGCTGCTGCCGCTTTGGATCTTTAAGAGTACAGATTGCCAGGTCTTTCTCCCCCCCGTCACCGGTGGGTTCAAACTACAGAGCTTTGGGTGAGTAGCCAAGCACTTGCTTAGCCATTGGAATCCGAGCCTCTATAGGTTCTGCCACATTACAAGGACAGCAGGATCAGCATCAGCCTGGAGTGGAGGCTCTCCGAGGGTTAAAATTTTATTTCAGCCTTTCCTCATCATTTCTGAAGAACTTCAATGACTTTGGTGCTTGTTCTGCCAATATATAGAATTTGCTTTAAAGATAGAAGGAAACATATAGACATAAGTCACCCAGGGGATCTGGTTAAAATGTAGATGCTGACTCTATATATCTTCGTGGAAATACAAATTCCCTGTAGAAGGTTGAATGGGACTGAATCCACTTGAAGTCCTCAGGACCACTAACTAACCCTTTAATGTTAGGCAAATTTGCCCTCACTTTGAAACCACTGAGCCAGCCACTACTCCGTATGAATTCTTCATCACAGTCACCTTCACTTGTGGCAGGAGCAGCTTTTAAATCACTGGAAAGAACTATTTGCCCCAGTTCTGATTTAGAAGTTTAGAGACACAAGTAGGAGCAGATCTTCATAATCGGGGGCTGCCCAAAGTTATTCGGTCTGTCGGTGGCCAATTTGTATCCTATTGCAGCATTTGTATCAAACACAACATACCTCTAGTCAAAGTTAGAGGCTGTTCTTGATCATTTCTAATTCTGATTATAGTCATTTAAAAAAATCCCTCTGTTCCCAATTAAACATTAACTGGTCAAGGCCTGATTTCTTTTGGTTTTCTGATACATTCTGGAAAAGGTTTTGAAAATGTTTTATTTTTACCTCTACTTTTATTGTGGTGTTCTACCTAAAGATAACTCATGCTTTTATTTTGAGGCTTGGTGGCATAGTGGTTACAAGGTGGGCTGCAAGCTGCAAGGCCTACATTTTGAAATCACCAACTGCTCTGTGGGAGAAAGAGGAGGCTGTTCTAGTAAAGAGTTACAGTCTCAGAAATCCACAAGGGCAGTTCTACCCTGTCCTATGGGGCTGCGATGAGTCTGCATCGACTCGATGACAATGCGTTTCTAAAGGCCCCTTTCAAAGTTAGGACGAGCCCTTGTGGCACTGTTGGGTAAGCATTGAATTCCTAACAACAAGGTTAGTGGTTCAAACTCAACTGTTGCTCCTTGGGAGAAAGATGAGGCTTATCTACTCCCAGACATATTCACAGGCTAGAAAAGTTAATATTTGGCCCCAGATTTGACTCGATGACTGTGGTGGGTTTTCAAAGTTAGTAAACCTCCTAATTTATGATTTGTTCACTAAAGTGAAGACCTTTGGTTAGAACAAGTACCTCTGAAATTTATGTAATTTTAAGATAATGATGCCTCTTTAAGAGACAATACTGCAGCCAAAGTCCTCACAGATAGCATAATATCCTTACACTATATTATTGTTCTGTTTTGCTTAAAAGGATTAGCTTTAATTTAGTTATAGTCAAAACAATAAAGTCTTTGAGAATACATTTAAAAGGAAGCAATCAAACAATATCTCTTGCTTGCCAAGTTCACTATATAACTAGTCTTGCCTCTTTGTACACTGTCGTCATTGTTAAATCCAGTCTGAGGGGGAAATGTAAAGTGCCCAGTAAGGTTCACAGTACTAAACAAACATTCTAACCAGAGAGAATGCAGATCAGTTTCTTTCTGCTTTCTGATTCAGTTCACTAGATACTCAAAGTCCACTACTCCCGATTTGATTCTGGCTCATTGTGACTCTCTGTAGGGTTTCTGAGGCTGTAAATCTTTATAGGAACAGAGAGTCTGCTCTTTCTCCCTTCGAGCATGTGGTTGGTTTGAATTGTCCCCCTTTTTGGTTATCAGCCAACACTCACCCAACAGCACCACCAGAAGCATCTATCTGTCCCCCAATTGTAGGAGTTGACCTCAACTTAAACTTGTCCCTAAAGACATTAAGTCAGATTACAGTGAACATCTGCCTATCCAATTGGACATGGTCAAGATGGTATTCTGATACTCCACTGAGAAGAGAAAGAACCTATTATTGATATGGCATCATTATGGGGTGGCAAGCGGGAGGAATCAGCAACACAGTTCCGATGAGAATGCAGCAAACAAGCGTGGGAAGACTCATCCCTGAAGAAACGTGAGTGATAACGAAAAGGTAGACTTGTGAATTGCCTCGATGACAACGGGTTTGGTTTGACTTGGATACTTGTGGTTAGAATTACTCTAAGTAGGGCAGGAGGAATCCCATGAGGAACAGAGGATTATGAAACATCATAGCAAAATATCAGGCTATCCAGTCCTGTCATTGTTTGAGGAGGCCAAAAATTGATAATTTAGAAAAACATTGAAGGACAAAAAGAACAAATGGGACTTGCAAAATTTAAGCCAAGGTTCCTCAAGTATGCCAGTAATAGTACATTTGCACAAGACCTGCAGTGCATAGCCAACACTCAGTTACTCAGAATTGGGCAGTTTAGTTATTTTTAGTAACAAAGAAGCTCTTATTTTATTTTTGGACCCAAAGAAACCAGGGTCCCACATTTTGATTAATTGCAACATTTTGAGTTTACTTTTTGTCCTTTCTCCCTTCCCTCGTATCACATGAACTTCCTTATGTCCACTATCTGACTTGTGGTTCAGATAGTACCTGGTCTGGGCCCACGAGTGTGGGGTATGTAGTTATAGCACTGATTGCGGCATTCACTGAAGGTGAATGAACTAGAACAAGTCACGTCTTCATGCTAGTTAACACGGAGACACACTATTTTCATGTTCCCCAGTGGTGAGGTTATCTGGGGGCAGCCATGCATCACATTTTGGGAACATGTTTCCTATAAAACGGGCTACCATGCAGGAGTTTGGAGTAGAACTGTCTCAGTGTTCCTCTAAAATAAAACCATGTCGATTTATCTTACAAAGTTTGTGCTGCCGCTGAAAGTCACCCGTTATTTTGAAGCAGCATAACTGGGGATTTACGTGTCCTTGAGAGCCACCTTTTCAGACTGGAACTTCCAGCATGGGAGGGAATATTTCAAAACCAGCAGAGGTGGTGGTGCTAGTGGTGGTGGTATCTTGCTGGCTTAGTGCCCAGAGAGATGGGCAGAAAAATGAACAATAAAATTCCTCTCTCCTAGGTCAGCTACACAAGCATTCAGAGCGCTATCATGATGTACATTTAACCAAACATGAACTTGAACTGTCTTTTTTTGGCCTAGCATATGGTAGGTATGTGTAGCTTGAATAATTCAAGTGGAAGCTGCGATTAAGTGAAATTCAGTACCTACAATATGTGATCCTCTGCCTGTGGTTGAGACAGAGGCGAATCTTTACAAAAGTGCCCGTGACCCTTAATAACAGGGATGCAAAAATCACTTAGCAACCGACTTCCTTTTCCCCCCATGTGGCATAATTAGAACTTTCTCTGGTCCCCAGAGGTTTGTTTTAAAATTCAGTCTCTTGTCTAGATTTTAAACACATTTAGTCATTAGCTATGCAGATGGTGAAAATAAGCAGAATAAATAGAAAAAATAATGTTTGGCCAGAAAGTGGAAGGGGTTAATTTCTTACCGGACTTTTCCTCTAAAAGCGTAAGCATGGAGAAGAAAAAAAAAGAGAGAGAAAGAGAGAGAGATAAAGTATATTGAGAAGAAAAACCTGCTCAAGAATTAACTCCCTGTGGCAGGCAGGTCTCTAATGCACAGCTCCTGTGATGCTTTCTATGGGGGTCTAAGAAGCGCATTCCTAGGTTGCTGGCTTCGCTCAAGCTCCAACAGGCATAGATGTGGTCTCCATTTGAACACAGTTGAACCTTTCTTTTGAATAGTTTAATTTTGACAATAGAAAACATGGCTTGTAATAGTGAACGGAGTTAGAAAATATCACGATCCCCTTTCAGTCAGCACGGTCATGAAATCGACCAGGAGATGTTTCAGACGCTCCAGTCTCACCTCTCGTCAGGCCCCTTGACGAGCACATCAGTCCTTTGCCCGGTGCGTGGTCTCCAGCTCCCCAGGATGCTCTTTGATGATCTCAGCACCTGTCACATCTCTCTTGCTAACTCCGAGTCCCCGATAGGAGTGTCTGACCACATGATCCTTCTACATCTAGCCTTACGTGATCCCCGGAATCATTTTCCAAAGTCGGTGATGCACTATATTATCATTCAAAGACCTCCCCGTTAGTCAGACCCCATCCTATGGCACTTAATTCTTCCACACTGGCTGCCTTCCCATCAGGCCCTCATCTTCCATGTTTTCTGTGAAACCTCACTTCACTGAACATTCTCCTTGACATTCCCCAATACTTTGTGTCCTCCCAAACGCCTCTGCCTACTGCTCAAGCTACTTCTTCAGCCTTCGATGAGCTCTCTTCTCATTCTTCAAGGCCAATAGCATTTCTTCTATAAGGCCACCAAGTTTCCTGGCAAGAATAAGTTGTTACTTTCTCTTGTTTTATCATAGACGTTCTTTTTGTTTCAAATAATAAACAAATGTTGAGAACCTTCTATTAGTCTGACATTTATTAGCCTTAATGGGAAAATATAAAGGCATATTGACTACCGTATTATGTTCTCTATTATTTTGATATTTGTCTCCTCTAGATGATCAGTGCACAGTAATGGTTGCAAATGGACTCTATTCCAGCCACAAATGTTGTACTATAGTATACAATAGGCCCCAGGACAAGTATATGAATTCCTTTTTTGAATTCAATAAAAAACACTATGCAAATGCTTAAAGCAAATGTATTTCGAAATATGGAAAGATAAATTGCTCTCTGAAATAACACTTAACTGTCCATGGCCCAAGTGATGGGATCTCAGTTGAGCAGTTCCTTTGCCAGCTCCTGTAAATATTTTCCTTGATCCTACTTAACTGTTGATCTCTCTGCCCATTCGTGACCTCAGGTCCTAGAACATGCTACAAGGGTTCTGAGGACGTGGCATTGCTGTGCACAGACATTAGTGTAGAGATATGCCTTCAGATTTCCAGCTACAAATATCTCTTATAGTAAAAGTGAATGCTTCGGAATAACAAATGGTGCATAAGCGTCATAGCAAATGAAAATTATTAACAAAGCCCAGGTTTTCAATGAATGGACCAAAGGTCTTTTTGAGTTGAATCACAACTTTAAAGAGATTGTCAAGATAGGAGGAAAAGAATAGACTTTTGTATGTTCAAATTGGCTCAGCCCTTATTTCGGACATGCATTTGGCAAGCCACACCGTTGCTTAAATGCCATAATCTTCAAAACAGGGTTCACCACCACCTTGTACTGTTGTTGTAAGAACTAAAAAATGAGGGTCATCTCGATAGCTCACATTTATTATTTTACCCGAGGTGGGCGATGTTTCATTTAGGAAATGGAGGCTTAGCGAGTTCCAAGGTTACATGGTATCTAAAGAACATAGCTGTGACTGGAGCCCAGGTTCTGTAATTCAGAAAGCCTGGTCAGGGGCGTCCAAGTCCCGAAAGAGAGTGCACCCACCTTTTGATCCATACTGGGATCTAAAGTCAGTGGCGTCATAAACTCACACATCAGAGGCTTTGGAAATAGTCTTGAATCTTTTCATTGGCGAGAGTTAAGTAGATCACATCTGTCTATCATATAGCAGTTCTCCGAGAGTGAGATTATGTGTCTAAATATAGTTAGTCCTTGGAATTAAATTCTGATTATGAAGTACATTTTTAAGTCTTACTTATAATTAAGTGCATTTTATTTCATTAAAACCAGAAGAAAAACAGATGAGCTAGAACATAACAAGGGCTACTCTTCCCACCCTTCCTCTCTCTTCTCATATAGGCTATGGGATATATGAAGCCATCTTTATCCAATATGCTGTTTTGCTTTAATTGTTAGCATCCTACCAACTATGGCCTATTGGCTTAGATATTTTAGAATGTTCAAGACACAGGTGAACAGTACAAATAAGATATTTATCTTCAAGGAAAAAACAAAAGTTTTTCTTGCTTTATACATACTTGATGGCATTTAAGTTGATTTTTAATTATGGAAAGGAGAAGTGAGGTAACTTGAAGATAGATGCATCCCTCTAGACGCACTTGGAAATCGGTGAATATTTGGATGGGGCAAAACATATACCTAAAATATAACAGTAAATGGTTCCCAAGGAAGAGTATTTTTTTCTGTCCCATGGCCTGTGAAAACAGAGTTTTCTAACATACAAGCCTTATTTGAAAGGCAGTTCAACTTTAACAATAACATTTTCCCAAGAATCTCACGAATGCTCCTTCCCACTAAAGATGGTGAATTGCTGTCTGGCTGTTATTACCCCTAAGCACTTTGTGATTTCAAGCCAGGTCTTGGGCTGAAGCTGCATTTTCTACAGGAAGGCCTGAAATCAGCAATATTTGATATGGAATTCTGTGTGAGGCCCAGAATCAAACAAACAGAGCTAAGTAGAGAAAAGAGACACTTCTAGTTTCAGTGATCCCTTCATGGAGATCCCTTCATTGCTCTTAGCAGGGAACTGAGCTGCCATAGAAATTTCTGGCATCAGGTTTAGCACAGTGGCGATCAAATAACCAGAAATCCAGATCTTAATCTATAAGCCTTTTGAGAGTCTACAATTGCTTAATTATAAAAATAGAATTACTGTATTCTGAATCTAATGAGAAATATAACCACTCTCCCTTATTTAGAATTTAGAAACTCATACGAAGCAAAAAGATTTCCTCTACATTTATTAAAGCAATTTAGAAACTCATACGAAGCAAAAAGATTTCCTCTACATTTATTAAAGCATTAACAGAGATTCAATGAGTACCTTACACACGGCAGACACTACTGTAGGCACGGGGAGAGCTCGCTGGAGAAACCCTAAGAACAGAGGCTCCGTGAGGTTTACTTTTGGAGAGGGGAGGACAGACAGTACACAGAAAGTGGGAGAAACAAAGTGTACAATGTTTTCGAGGGGATCAGTGGAATTAAAAAATAGAGCAAAGCCAGGGGCTTGGGAATGCGAATGCCGAGTGGGAGGTACGGGTCTGGGGTTAGCGCAGGCTGAGTATGAGCACCTTGAAGACCATATCCAAGACACAGTTTTTACTTCTTTTCAATGCAGCCCCAATTTTATATGAGGGGCTTCGAAGTATCCATGGAAAACTCCATGAACTTGTAAACCATTTCCCCACGATCTTTTTGAACCCCGCTGGTATGCCAGGGTTTTTTAGGTAAGGCCCTTTGGCGATTTCTGTTTGTTGCGAACAGGCATAGATTAAACATTTGAAATAATACCAAAGAGTGTCTGGATATGACATTGACGCTCTTTTTCCTTACTGGAATAGTCCATTTTGATTCCTTATGTAGCATATTTTTAAAAAGGGGTGAGGTGAGGAGGCTTTTAGGAAACGGACAGGGAATTTCAATTGGACTAAACAGAATGAGGTCAGTTCATCTTGCCTTCCCTTTCTCTGTGTCCGTATCAGGATAAAGAGTTCAGGCTGGTATGCAGCACCATATAGCTCTGCTGTGAAGTTGTTTTTTATGGGAAGTGAGTTACCCTGCCAACAGATGTATGAGACAGAAAGAAATCTCACTTGATTCTGTTTAGCAATGAGATTTACTCCAACTCTCTGAAGAATTATCTTCTGACATGATCATTATATGGGTAACTCAGACTCCAATTTTTCTAAAATAATTTAAAAATATATTCACTACCATATATTTTTTTCTGGTAATAAAAAATCTTCAAGAGTTTCTATAAATGTATTAATAATAGTATAAAAATAAGAAAAATAATTAAAATCTCTTTACTCCTTTGGTCCAAAGACAGCTACCCTGTTTCCCCAAAAGTAAGACATCCCCAGAAAATAAGACCTACTTGCAGTTTTGCCTCTCGCTGAAATATAAGGCATCCTCCTGAAAATAAAACCTCTCCGAAAATAAGCCTCCCCCAAGCTATCATAACTCTGGACTCTGGACCAAAGCGGCAGGTGCCACCGCGCAGCTCACTGTTGGTCGCAGCGCAGCCAGAGCAGACAGCAAGTGTGAGGTCTCTTTTAATAAAACAATAAACAATAATGTGTACCACATTCTTCTTCATGGAAAAATAAGACATCCCTGAAAATAAGACCTAGCACATCTTTGGGAGCAAAAATTAATATAAGACACTGTCTTATTTTTGGGGAAACAGGGTAAGTGAATGAACCCTGAGGTCTTAGGTGAGAAAGCAAACACCTGACATGCAGGATTGGAAGAGACAAACAATCAGTACTGATAGAAAGAACATGTTAATATATTCTTAAAAGACCTTACAAACTGTAAGACAAGCATCAAGGAATTACTGCTCTTGTTGTTCATCCATAAAGTAATGGAGGAAGAAGCTCAAGTTGAAGGAGAAAGATCACAATGAATTGAGAACCATGTTTGCTTCCTTCATAAAGCAATATGAAGAACATAAACTATATTTTATCATGGCTAAACTCCATAGTAAAGATGGACTGTTGTGTTAATCTGAGTAGACTAGAGAAACAAATTCATACACTCATGTGTGTAAGAGAGAACTTTAATTCAAAGTGCAATTATACATGAAGAAAGCATCCCAACTCAGTTCAGAT